CGCATGGTGTGGTGGTGAACTCGTTGCTCCCCGGGAAGGACAAAAGCGCGTTCGTTCGCCACCGCAAACATCTGTGGTCCGGTGTTTTGCAAATATCTCAGCATCGCTGAAAGTTAAATTCAGTGTCTTCGCAAATGACAACCACGCGAAGTTGAACGTCAAGCGTTATGCTATACAGAAAACCAGACTCCATCTTTAGACAGTGGAACGGTATGATAGTGTGAAATACACGTCGGCTATTTCTAACCGCTAAAAATCGTAGTGATAGATGACCACACACTTTTATAAATGGTTACTGCTCATTTCATTAGAATCTATATAACATTATTACTCTAATCAGCCAACGAAGGAAAATCAATGTACATGGGATTGTCTCACTTGCTAACTAACGTATCGTGCCTTCTCGTGTGCTCAGATGTTAAAGCGTCGTTTTTCTGGCCATGAAATCCCGATTCTCAACTCTTATTTACGTTCTTTTCCATTACGTTATAAAATTTTAAGTTGAAGTCGAATAAAGTCTAGTCTTTTGGGCAGTACGATGCAAAACATTTGCTGTCTTTAGTCCGATCCAACGCCTTAGGTGATAATTTGTCGATCCAAGAGGGATGAAAGTTTGGTAAGGGCAAATGGACCGGGCCAGCGATTGATCGATTGCGTGCTACAGGGCACCTTTAACAGTTACCTTTAGCACTTATTAAATTGTTTCCCTATGCGAAATGAACTGTGCGAAACCAAATCAAGCAAGGACTTCGCAACATTTGGTGAGCCATTGGACGGAATCGAACCTGCAAAGTCTTGAGGATAACTCTAGCAAATGCGCTACACAATCGCTTTTCAATACACCTTTTTGGAAAATCAGTAATCTCCGACCGCTGTAGAACCTTTTCTCGGCAATACCTATATTCATCTCCAATATAACTCCACCACCTTCCAACGGTTTACCGCCTCATCGTGGCTGGGAGGTGTTCTTGGGTGTTGGACTGCGATGTAAAGCGGAGGATTCACCCTCTGGCAGAGTCTCCCAAGCTGAGAAGCAGTCTAGCGTTCCATCAGGAAGCCTAGCTAAGAGTAAACCAATACCAGAATTCACCATCGTCCTGGTATCAAAGTCGCATGGTGGCAGACCTCCCTCTGATCCACAAGGGCTGCGGCTGCCTGTGGTGGTGCAGACCCGAGACAGACCTTGGCCAGGCTGACCTCGGGTCTCCAGGGAAGAATGGCTTAAGCAGCAAATCTCCGAGGAACGGAGATTATGCTGGGGCCCGCACAACTAGTGAGGACGGGCCATTCAAGTATCAAGTAACTAAGTATAACTCCATCCATTTCAGTGAATATATAGGATTGCTGTTGATTTCTTAGCTTAGTTCTAGTAGCACTTCCTTGCATTTGTTTCTCGAAATTCTTCATCAGTTCATTGCAGAAGATGCTTCTTTTTTATTTTCAATGTAACTGCTTTCTGTCTGCATTATTTTGCGTGCTGTTGTTGTTGTATTTCTGTCATTGTGCTAGTGTCTCTATATATAAAAATTTAACACCTCTGACTTGAGATCTTGAATGACTGAAAGTCACAGACCTACAAGAACCGCGTGGTTTAGGATCTAAATTACTCTTTCGTTTTTCATCTACATCTCTGTTTTCGACCTTTGAAGAAAAGCAAAGAGAAATTGTAACAAGTTTTTATAAATTTTAAGAGGAAGTTTTCTATATAGTGCATTTAGAAAAGATGATGCTCCGAAAGACTTTCACTTAGGCTTTCTTACATGACGTCTTTTCTTCCATATTTGTTTCAATCATTATTTGTCTGCGGCCTTTGGTTTTTCAACTTCTTTTGCAATCTGCTTTACTTCTTTGAATTTTCGAGTTTTCTCGATTTCCATGGTGACAGGTCTTCAATCACTTGTAAGTTTTTCTTCATATACCTGACTGTTTCTAGCCGTTCACTCAAAATTCTCCATCTCCCGATTGTCCAATTCGCTTCTCTCGTTCTGACCTTTTCACACATTTTTTGGTTAGTCTGTAACTGCTGCTTTTTTAAACCAAACTGACAATACTTTTTATTTTAGTCTTCCAAATCAAATCCGAATTATTTTCCCATAACGAGTCGAGTCATTGCGGCTTTGAAGAGTGAAAATTCCGAAGAGCTGATCAGTATCTTTAAAAAAAGAAATAGGTATGAGCTAAATGTTTGGAAAAGAGTGCACAGCATTCGTATAGAAGCACATTGGCATAGTATTCGTTTTCCAGCAACATTTATATTTCTACTTTGGTCCAATTATTGGTGAACCCATCAGTCGCTACACAATAGTCGACTTGATCAGGGGCTCTGTTACAATAGATAAAGCATACAAGAAAGAATAGCATATCGTCCAAAAGATCCACACAATTGGATGGTTCGTATTCACGAATGATGCGTACCAGAGCTCATTTTCAACATCTTGCTTTCCTTCGGAATTGACTACTCTGCTGTTCTTTTCATCAGTTTGTTGCCAGCTCCTCGCATAATTTGGTCGGATCATTCACGGCACGTATGCGTTGAAACTTGGATGCTGAAGCTCTCCAACTGCGTAGCTATGTTTCATGTGTTATAGCACACTATGCAAACGCACAGCGTGTGAGTTAAGAACATCCATTTATCAAAACAATGATAGGAGAATCGTTAAGCCGAATTGGTGAATAGGACGGTTTTGATCCATTACATGATACTTTCTTCTTCTTGCATAATTTATGCTTCATGTCCTTTCTTTTGTTCGCAGAATGCCTCACATGTGCGTAAGTATTTTTAAGTAAGTACCTTTTTCTCTTCTCATTCTTTAGGAACCTTAAACACCATCTCGATTTTACTGATACAATTTGACAGGTTGTGCTCAGTGAAATGCCAAAATCGGGCAATTTTGTTATTTGCTACAAAACGGTCATTCACAATTTTAACGAGATAGCGTGCAACAATCGAATCTGTATGTATTCTTTCTTTGATCGAAATAATCGAATCTGTATTCTATCGGGTTGGTGCGGTTTACATTTTCGCATGTAGTTGCTAAAGTAGACATCTATGCACTCGATGTGGAGCTGGTTTATCTCTTGGTCGATTAGCGCTAATAGGACTGCATTCGTTTCCATGCGGTCAGACGCTTTTTACCGGCCGATAAACGATAGAACAGGGTTGAGCTTTAGTGACTATAGCTACGGCTTGATTGGGGCCCATACAGCAAACTTCCTACGGGATTTTGCTTGCTCACCTAGTTGGGATCCATCTCAACGGAAATTATTAGGTCTGGAGCAACGTTTGTAGACAACACTTTCACCTAGAGAAATGCTTGTTGGTTTGGATCTGTGCGATGCGTTTAGATGTGCGATTCATACATAAACCCGAACGCTATAGAATTTTCTACAAGCACTATCTCTTCTTACCAGGTGGGGGAGATGGGGAACACGTACTTGAAGCATTACTTTGATATTTTTTCGTTTCGTTGACCAACAATTTTTTTTCGAATCTATGTTGGTTTTTGGATTAATTTAGGATTGGTTACGTGGAAACTCTGCCAGTGGTTTGATTTTTCATCTTGTTCTTTTTTTGTGAACTTGTTCACTTCTTAAAATTTTATTCTTACACCGTACTATTGATGATTCTGGTTAAATAGTATTGGCTCGTTCGATTCCCATTTTCTTACTATAACACTGAAAAAACAGCTGATTTATTCCACAAGCTTCTTTTTTTCATGCTCTGACTACAAATGACTATCCATTCTACTACAAAGCCGTCCGAACCAGTTTCTCCACTCGAAAAAGAGGCGATCAACAAGCTTCGGTGCAGGTTTCTTTTCTCTCTTTTTCCACATTGTTTAATAAGCGAAACGTAATTATTTTCATGAAGTCTTTGGTTTCAGTCACTTAGCAATTAGAGTCTAGCATGTCTAATTGACGCCTAATTTATCGTCGAGTTGGCTGTGTGTAGATGTCGGCCCATGCAGTCTGATTTTTTTCCTAAAAGCTACCCGACCCATTTTCTTGTTCCGCAGTTAAAACGGTCACTGTTCAGGTTTTGATGTGACCCTTTAATTACGATTAATTTAGTTCCATAATTGAAGTTTCGATGATCGAACGACTTTGAGATCGTTGAATGGACACGTCCAATTTTTAAAAAGTAGTATTCCTCTAGCTCGTGTGCTTTTAAAATTCAATTTGAACTTTCTATCACTAATTTATTTGTTACTGACGCATTGACAGCCTTTTTTGCAAAATATATGATTTCTTGGAAACATTCTTCATTTTGATGTTAACCTTTTATTTGCTGCGTACGGTAGGTGTGATGTGGAATACAACCACAGTGATGCTGAGAATCTTAAAACTTGGACCCCGGGCCAGATCGAAGCACGACTACCGTTTCCGGGACTCGCGTATTGCACAATGCACCACTGATGCCCTGCCTAGCTATTCTCTACGCTAGTTTTCTACTTAACGCTGCCATTAGCAAGCACCTATCAACGGGATCGATCTAAGGAGCGCAAGTCGGCATTGAACTCTTCCCGTTAAGCTGAGGCTGTAGTCGAAATCGCAATGTTAACCTTTTATTCGCTGCTTACTATAACTTTTTACGGGCGGTGTAACGTGAAATGCAACCACCACGACGCTAGGTGATGGGTGATTGCTGATGGCAGCGTTAAGTAGTAAACCAGCTGAGAGAAAGGTAAAACAAGGGTCTCCGTGGTGCTGTCGCTTTGTCTTTTACCCTTAATTGTCCTTAATTGGCAATACCTGTGTGTAGCGCGGTGGTTGGAGGCGCCCTGCAATACACATGGGATCGATCCACGCACTCAAGATTCACTATGCCTTCCACCATTCCGGGATTGGCAAATTAGTACCAGACTTATCTGAGAGGGTACCAGAACTGGCTCGATACATGGGTAGGCCACAGCGAGAGACTAAAGGCCAGATAAGCATTCAATCACCTCCGACGATACTTAATGAAGTCGAATGCATGAGCATCCCTCAGGGATTGATCAATGCCGAGAGCCTTGTCCTTTATCCTCTTATTGGCCATACGTTCTGAGCAATTCGATTTTTTCAAACGTCAGACTATAAGTTTGTCAGCTTCTCGTTTGTATTTTAGACTTATCGAAAGCTTAAAGAAAATTCCCGACGATCTCAACACCGATTTGAATCTGGTCCGCTGGATACGTGGATACCAAGGAAATATCGATGAAATCTGCAAGGCAATCCTCAGTCACTCTTTTCAATCTAAGCAATTCACTATCAGACAAAATTAGATTTCTAGTAAAAACTCAGTTGTTTAAAACTGAAAGCACAGAAAATTTTTAGAAATTTGCTCATTATGTTGCCTCACGGGAAGCAGCTGGCTTTACTGGACGGGATCTTCCAGAAAGGTGAAATATTTTTTAATTTTATTTTCTTTCAGTGAGCTAATTCTTTTCTTGCAGCTGTTGCAAGCATTTATTTGGAATTTATTTTAGCTGTGGTTTGAACTACTGCTAATATCTTGGCTTTTTATGCACAGATTTCCGTTAAGTTGTGGAATTCTCGTGTTTTTGCTAATTATGTTTAGTTCTATGCCTATTCCCAAGATCGGCTTTCTGTTAAGCTCGGCGTTGGATTATAAGTCTGTCGTTTTCTTTCTCAACAATCGCGAGGTTGTTATACAGCATACGTTTACTTCCATGCGATAGCACCCATACAATACGTAGTTGACTCTTCGGCAGTGTTGCCTTCTTCAAAGCCCGGAAGGGTACACAAATATGGAAGGGTACACAAATATGTAATTTACTAGGCCAAACGCTTCAACAACGCAAACAGAGAGATGGAAATCAGAACAATAATTACACGATCACCGGCTTCTCGAAAAACGAATCGTTTTTACCTGTTTTCCACGGTGGAAGAACAGCCACTCAGAGTCGCATTTGGTTGACGACTGCTTCCAGGAACTGGAGAAGGCGATTCTGCCGAAACCAGCTACGGTTGTATTGTATGTGTGCTATCGTATGAAGTAAACGTATGCCGTTTAACAAACTCGCGATTGCTTAGAAAGAAAACGACAGATTTATAATCCTATGCCTATTGGTATCAATTTTTACACTGGGCAACATTTTGGACCGCTAATCGTTATTTCAATCGGCATCCCATTTGCGCTCCAATAACACGCGTTCGGTAGGCCTGCCACGCCAAAATGGCCCGTATCATGAAAGGATTGAAAAGCTCTTGTTAATGCTTAACTTTTTATTTATTGCCTACTACTTTTTCAGAGCAGCGTACCATGTGAGATGCACGCACAGTGATACTGAGATATTTGCCACACTTGGACCCATGGCCAAATTCGAAGCCGCTATTACCTTACCATTTGTGGTGGGCCGCTGCAAAATTGCGGTCGTTACTTTGCCTTTCTCTCAGCCTCTTTTTTTAACATGAAGCCTCAGTGGTGCAATGGGTAACACTTGAGTTGCCAAAAAGGATAATCGCGTTTTCGAATCTGACCTGAGATGCAAGTTTTGCAAATGTCTCAGTATTTTAACTTTTTTATTTACTGGCTGTTATTTCTTCATGGCAGGGTATTGTATGTGAAACAGCCACAATAATGCTGAGATATGTGTAAAACTCCGGACCGCTGGTGTCTGCGGTGGGGAACGAACGGGATATTACCCTTTCCGGAGGCTAGCGTCCTTCGTTTCGCCTGCCTTTCACATAGTTCTATCGATCAGTGCCATCAGGGATCACCCGCAAACGGGAATGATCTGGCAAGCCCAAATCGGCAGTGAACCCAGTTAAGCTGAGGCTTCAGTTGAAACCACACTTTTACTTTTTTATTTCCCAGAAAGGGTAATAGCGCGTTCGTTCCCCACCACGGAGACCTGTGGTCCGTAGCTTTACAAATATCTCAGCATCATTGTGGCTGTTTTACACATGATACCCTTTCATAAGGAAATAATAGACAGTAAATGAAAAAGTTAAAGTTGTGATTTCAACTGCAGCCTCTGCTTAACTGGGTTCAATGCCGATTTGGGCTCCCCAAATCAATCCCTTTAACGGATTATTCCTGATGGCACTGATCGATAGTATTACCTGAGAGAGACGAAACTAAGGACTCGCATGGTGTGGTGGTGAACGCGTTACTCCCCGGAAAGGGTAATAGCGTGCTCGTTCCTCAGCGCAGACACCTGCGGTCCGGAGTTCTGCTAATATTTCAGTGCCATTGTGGTTATCTCAGTATTGTTGTGCTTAAGGCGTGATGTTGATAGATCCGAGAGTTTTGGCTATTTTGTGAATATATTGAGTGGTTTTAAACAATCACAAGAATTCTGAGATATGAGCAAAATTCGGAACCTTAGTTGGGCTTCGTGCCCGCGGTTACTTTTACCACGAACTTGCTTACTTTTTCCCACATGAACCTCGCTTTGCCTTTTTTTCAGCAGCATTTTTACTTTATAGATCTCTACTCTTTTAGCTTTAAACCTAGGTCATCGTTCTTTTATTTTCAAGCAAATTAAAGGACATTCATTTATTTAAAAATTATATAGTTAGAGAGGACGATAGTCACCTATTTACACACAATGCACAAATGAATAGGTTCTTCGAGATGGCGATGATCAAGCCGTTTCTGCCATTCATCGCTTCTTCGCGGCTCGGCGATTCTGTTTGGTCTGACGAGCATAACGCCTTTATGTTCGTCGAGCGGGCATGGGCTCAGCCTAGAGAAGTGGGTGGTTAGGTTACTTATTTAATTCGTACTCTCTAAAATCTGCTTCTTACTAACGGTGCTTGTTGAGCAGTCTCAAGGTCGGTATTAGTTGTTATTGTGATTCGATAATTGACGTTCCGGCTACTTCACCTTCTTCAGGGCCGTTTTGTTAGATGTGGTAATTATGTATACGAATATTAGTGTTCACGTGAGATGATCAAGAACACATTGGTGATGCCAAAACTAATAAAGTAGATCCGAAGAAGGCGAAGTCGCCGAAATGTCACCCATCGAAACATAACAACAGCAACAACAACAACAGCATCCACTGACACCAACCTGGCGTCAGCTCAACAAGAGCAGTCCGTATGAATCATACATGTGGATTATTAACGCCGACGTTTATAGAAAGTCGGTCTCCTTCTAACTGCTTTTTCTGGATAAGCAGATAAGTGATCGTTAATGCACTATTTATTCAACAGTGGTCAACTTTTTGGCGTTTTCACCTTCTTCAGAGACTGGAAAGGTCGAATTTGCACGCAATCTATTCAGCCAAACACTTCCGAAACCTCAGCCTAAGAAACTAAAACCTAAATTTCAATCAAATGAGAAACAGCGTTTTCTAAAAAGGCAACGTTCTGTTCCTTATAAGTCTACCACTTTTTGACATATACCAGCCATATAAAGTTTAAATAGAATATGAGGAATGTGGGGGGAGTGTACCGCTCTTAGGCTCTTCTTATATCGTGTAGTTATTCTCAGGACCGAATTTCTATTATCTCATCATTGTTAGGCAAACCTATGTTTTCATGATAAGCAGAAGTGAGTGGAGGAATGCTTTTTCCTGTTCCTCACTCGTATCAACGCTTTACGATTGCTTGTCTTTAACACTCGCGACAACGCCTATGATTTCGCGTTTTTGCGGAGTGCAGGACGCGTAATTTTTTGCTGCGTTCGGCCACTTCGGCAGTTCTTCTATAGCCGCGCAGTGTTTTGTTCTGATATCCGTCCCATAAATTGGTTTCTCTTTGCATTTTGGAAAAATCTCCACACTTTTTCTATCGAATCTGAGTTCCATGTTCGTATATACACGCTCCCACTTTTTTGGTGCACATACAACTCTTGTTTATGAAGAAAAACGCTCGTCGTCTACGCAACTACACTGTTGTCAACATTTAATGTTCTGCAGGGAACTTTGCAATGTTTACGTTTTAGTTTAAATCCCCTCACTGCAAACAATACCTATAAATTGTCATAGCGATTGGAAATTGGTAAACAACGAATTGCTTATCAAAAATGATGTTGCACACCGCAAGCGTTGATGATTGCATGCATTTTCAGTTCTTTGAGGCATAGACATTTCCGCGTCTTTTCGCTGGCCACGCTCTGTTCAACAGAAATAGTCTCTCGCCGCAAAATGAGAAATTAGTGAAAAATTATTAAAATGACATTCTCCCATAGACGACGCCCGCCGTAGCATCTGCGTTTGATGAGCTATCGAGCTATGATTACGAGTAATATAAGAAAAAACATCTGTGCACCAGAAAAAACTGCAGGAAAGGAAATGACACCTATAGGTGTCATTCGTCGCGAGTATTAATGAGTAGAAGACGTGCAAAAAAGGGCTGTGAAGAAGGCGAAATTCTCCGAAATGTTAGCCGGTGTGGAGCAAATATTATATTAGCGTCTTCTCTGGTCACTGTGCTAACAAAACGCTTCCAAGATCGACTTTCTATTAACTTCGGCATTGGAATATGAATGCGTCGTTTTCTCGTTCAGCAATCGCGAGGTTGTTAAACAGCATACATTTACTTCCACAGAGAAACACAATACAATACAACACTATCTGACGTTTCGGCAGTATCGCCTTCTTCAGACTGTGGAAGGGTATACTCATATACAATTTACTAGGTCAAACGTTTCAATAACACTTACAAAAAGACGAAAACTCATGGTCATTACATGATCAACAGCTTCTCGAAACCCTCACCGCTTCTTTCTGTAATCAACTGTCCTAATCTTCCTCATTGGAGGTCACGAATAAAAGCGGTGACTGTTTCGAGAAGCTGTTAATCATGTAATTACCATAGTTTTCGTCTTTTTGTAAGCGTAATTGAAGCGTTTGGCCTAGTAGATTGTATATCAGCATACCCTTCCATGTTCTGAAGAAGGTGATACTGCCGAAGCATCAGCTACTGTTGTATTGCATGGTGTTTTTGTATGGAAGTAAACATATGCTGTATAACAACCTCGCGATTGCTAAACAAGAAAACAACGCAAACAAAGCGTTTCTTCTTGCAGCTCAGCCTATGTCTCAATATGTTTTTCTAACAAACATTATATCTATAGTACTTTTGTTCTTTATTCTTGTATTGACTGTCTTCTTCAGTTCATCAAGACGTTCAAAACCAGCGACTATTTACTGCATTGCTTTGGCTACTCCGAATTACTACTTCAACTGATTCTAGAGTAAGGCACCGTTACTGATTCGCTTTAATTCAATGCCTGGTTTACTTTCCTTACTCGAGATAATAATCTCCTTGCAAAGGTTTGGAAATGCAGGTTTAAAATACCTAGAAGATTCAACCCTTAGAGGTCACATAAGTTGATAGCAGAAGTTATCAAGGGTGTAGAGATTTTCAGCTGCTCCATCGTTACTAAAACGTCAACCGTTTTTCATCGTATTCAGTAGCAATTCTTTCCCATTTTATTTGTTGTGGAAAGGAAATTCTTCGTGAGCTGTACAAAAATTTCACAATCAAGATTTCACCATTCTACAACGACATTAACGTTGACGTCAAAAGAGGAGTTAGGCAAGGCGATAGCACCTCGCCAAAATTATTTACCGCCACCCTCCAGAACGTCATGCGAGCATTGGAATGGGATAATATGGAAGTGAAAATCGACGGTCGGCAGTTACACCATCTTCGCTTTGCTGATGACATTTATAACACCAAACATTAGCCAAGCGGAACGTATGCTTGCCCACTTTGATAAAGCCCGTGGAAAGATTGGTCTTTGGCTAAATTTCACAAAAACGATGTTCATGAGGAACCGATTGGTTTTGTATGCCCTATTCACGCTCAGCTAAACTAATATCTCCGAATGCTCCAGTTTTGTCTATCTAGTTCGACAATCAACATGTTGAATGACTTAGTTCCAGAGTTGAGCAGAAGGAAACGAACGGCTTGAGGTGCTTTCAAGAGGATCAAGAATGTAGTGAAGAGGACAAAGAACACACGACTCCGTGCCCACCTTTTCGACGCAACGGTACTTCCTGCCTTAACGCATGCGGCAGAAACCTGCTTGCTTAACCAGTATGAAAGATCACTCAGCCTTATTGATCGCGCAGTCGAATGGACGATGTTAGGAGTATCCCGTGTCGCGCAAGTAAAGGAAAGGAGCCGAAGATCCGACCTGCACCAACGATCAAAAGTCAAAGATGCCGTTTTTTACGCCAAACAGTCGAAGACAAGATAGGCCGAACACGTAATGCGTATGAATGACAACCGATGGGCAGGAGCCGTTAGTGACTGGATTCCTCGGCATGTCAAACGTACTGCAGGAAAACCACCGACCCGATGGTTTGAGTTCTTTACGAAGAGCCTGGAAAAAAGATATGACGGTCGACGAGTCCCTAGAGTGAGCAGAAGCCACTGGGCCACTCTTGCACACGACAGGGAAAAATGGAAGATTTACTGGCGCCCGCTCGAGTCACTCGACGATCAACGGGACTACGGGTGATACAGGTGATACAGGTGATGGAAGGGACAAGATATCCTGAAAAATATTTTTTGGGGATCTTTTACCGTCTGTAAAAAAAGGCATTTGACATTTTCTCTGTTTGGCAATTCTTCCAGTACAATGAAATTTTTTAAAATTTGGTTAACAGTCTATCGTCTCATATAAAACATGTATTATTTTTATCTATACGTTCTCAAGAACTGCCTTTGTTGAACTGATGCGAGGTTGGTATAAGCTGTCGTTGTTGTTATTATTGTTGATGTTTTCGTTGTTGTTCTTGTTGTTGCTGACGTTTCAACTTAAACGAACTTATACTAACCTTGCGTCAGCTGAACAAGGACACTTACACGACGTTGCTACCAATATTTATTCGGCTAACGCTTCAAATTCTTCGTCTTCCTTAGAACGACGTCGAGCTCGATACGGCGACAACACATGAAGAAGACGAACGATTGTCGACATCGACTCGGATCATCGGCTCCGAGGAAGACGAAAACGTCGAAACGTTAGCTGAATAAATTGGTAACAACTTCATGTTAGCTTATCAGTAAAACAAGGCATATTGGCCGTTTATACCGAGGCAAAATAAAATTCGGTTTATAATAACAAAATATCTGATATTTGGTTCCAACATGTTGTGTGGTAACTTCAACTCGTCTTGTCATCTTTAAAATCTGAACATATCTCACATCAACATTTCTGAGAAGAATCATTCTAATCACTATAGGCAGCCTATGGTTTGTTTAAAATCTTTCTCAACTTTCTTTACTCCAATGCTTCTGTTGGAATTGCTGTTCAGAGAGTTCGTTGTGGTATTAGATCTGTCGGAAATTAATGTCGGATTTCACCCTGTACTTTTAAAGTAGCACATATCAGTTCAGATTAAATTTTGCTATTCGAAATAGAATCTATTGTAGTCTGCACATTTTCGCTAACGGGAAAAAAGGTTATTCATACCTGTTGCAAAAAATTCTGAACTTTTATGGGCGATGAAGACGTTAAAGGCCCTTTCGGCCTTGGCTTGATTTCTGGAGCAATTCTAGTACAGAAAGTTTTCGAGATGCTTAAAGAATGGTATTTGATAAGTGAGAGACCTGGCGAGCTTGTTGGGTGAAGCAAATTTCGTAGCCCAGCTCGTTTAACCCTTTGCAGCATCGTTTGTGCTATGCGTCGGCGCGATCTGTAGTGGTGGATTCGTGCCTTCCCGTCAACCATTATGGAGCAGTTGGAGTTTCTGGTGCATTTCGTCGACTGCTCGACTAATCAACGTGCTTCTTCGCCGTAAACGTCTCACCCGGATTCAAGAATCTGTGATGGATCAGAGCAGCTGTTGACTACCAAACGGTCTACATTGTAGTTTCGACTTTAGTAAGTGCTGCGCAGCTTCATCGCTCTCCAATCACTGAATTAATGGTCACAGGTTATCGTAGAGAATCCACTTCTCGTCTTGCATCATAATCGGTGAAGAAACGGATCATTCTGGTTGTACAGAAGAAGCACCGGCAATAGCTGAAAACGATTTCTCTAATCGTTGTTCGATCCGCGTAGCATCCATTTCCGGGCTTCTTCGACTTTCCAATTTCTTCAGGTGCTCTGTAACACTTGAGAGGATTAAATGTGATTCATCTGGATGTTCTCGAAGAATTTTGCATGTATTTGTTTTCACCAAGTCATCGTCGTCATTAGTAGGATGACCTGCACGACCTGCATTACCTCTAAGGTTGAATTCGCCACAAGGGTTTTCCAAACCAACATTGAACTGTGAGTTTGTTAACAGTTTTTGGCTTTATGCATCAGTAATATTTCGAGCCATTTGTATCGCGTACTCCAGAGTTTGAACTCGTAGGAATGCATTTGCCACAATTACCGTTTTGACATCACAAATTCTTACCTGCAAAACTTGTTAAGGATGTCATTTACATTATTATTCAATTGCACAGAGCGAGAGGGCATAAAATGAGCTTTTCAGTGATGTATAACACTACAACATCCAAAAAAACCGAGGCTTGTACAACCACAAAGATGCTGGAATATGAGCAAATCTCAGAAACTTGCTTGGGCTTTGAAACCGCGATTACCGTTACTGAGCGTCCACACGTTATCCATCACACACCAACAAAGGCGTTTGCTTTGCCTTATTTTTAGCTAGTTTTTTTTTTACTCTATCAGCGTTATCAGTAATAAGTCGCCAACTGCAATGATCCCCACACCATATTTCATCATCTTTGTGGTTGAATTCCACATACTACCCTGCAATGAAGAAGAAATAGGCAGTAACTAAAAGTTAAGACATTATTGCTAAAACGTCCACAAAGAAAATGAAATTACAAATCCAACACAAGTTCCCGAAAGGCCTAATATTATGCCAACCATTTTCGTTTCATAAAAAACCACAAATTGTTAACGTTGTGACTTCAAACAACGGATTTTCCATTTAGACGGGAGCGAACTCAGCCAAAAGAACGTGGTCCGGTTCAGTTTATTGTGATATTCGATCTTGCAACCGTTAACATCACAGACTATGTGAATCCAATGAGCGGCTACATGAAACTTTGGCAGATAAGGTCAGAGATGTGGCAGGACTGGTGAGTTGATCAGCGAATTTCATTCATTTCAATCTTTTCATCAACTTAAGCTGACGATAACATAGGTTAAACCCATAATGTGAAACTCAGTACGTTACCTGGGAGCAGTTTGGTGACGATGAGGAGTTAAAACAAAGTTGGAAAATAGAAGACGTCGACGGAATAACATTTATTCAATATTAGTGCTCCACATCATACTTACTCACTTGGTACTTGAACGGCCCTTCCTCACTAGTTGTGCGGGCCCCATTTTCCAGAGATTTGCTGCTTAAGCCATTGTGGTTCCCTGGAATCCCGAGGACACCCTGGCCAAAGTTTGTCCCAGGTCGTCACCACGGCATGCAGTCGCAGCCCTTGTGGATCAAAGGGAGATTTGCCACCATGCGACTTTGATACCAGGACGGTGGTGGTTCCTGGTATTGGTTTGCTCTTAGCTACGCTTCCTGATGAATGCGCCGGACTCCTTAGCTTGGGAGACCGTGCCGGTGGGACGAATCCACCCGCTGTACATCGCAGTCGGGCACCCAGGAACACCTCCCATCCACGATGAGGCGGTAAATCGTTGGGAGGGCTCTTCATCATATTTGCACTGGAAATTGCAGACAATTGAATGCGGTAAATTCTTACCAGTTTGTTTGACAGCAGAAACGCAATAGCTCTGGGCCGATTTGTGACCATTCAAAATTGCTCGGAATAGCCAATAATTTCATTAAGTAGATCACAAGAGTACTACATTGATTCAGTGCTTCGTTTCCATGTTCATCAATCGCGGAGTTGTTATACATTGCACTTACTTCCGCGCAAAAAATGCATAGAACTCAACAGTAGCTGACACTATTTTTGGCACTATCGCCTCCTTCAGAGCCTGCAAGGGTTTGGTGATATGCAATCTGCTGCACCAAACGTTTCAATAACACATATAGAAAAACGGAAATCCATATGGTAATCACATGACCAACAGCTTCACGAAAAGCCACCGTTTTTTATGTGCCTTCCACTACGGAAGATTAGAACAGCTAATTATAACCGCATATGGTTGATCACTGCACCACCGCACATCAAAAATTAATGCAAAGATATGGGACCAGGTCGCTGGTTGCTGAGATTATTCCTCTGGACATTCCTCCCTGCTATTCATTGTAGGGCTTTTGGCATTTATCCAAAAGCCTCGAGAAGTTTGCGCGCTGGTGTTTTGGCATCCTGTGCGAGGATAGTGACTTTTACTTAAAAATCGTCTCTACTATGCTTTTGTATCCTTTGCGTGCCTAGTGGGGTACTTTGCCTCACTTTTCGTTTGCCATCTAGGTGTTCTTTTATACGGATACACAAAGGTCTGCCCGTTTCGCGAATACACCCGTCTCCGCAAGTACCACAAGAGATCAGGTATATCGTATCTGTACTCTTGGAGTCACGGTCCCTGCCCGTAAAGGCAAATTAGGAAATTCTGTGTTTTATATGGGCAGTCATACAGGCTGTTACGAACTAACTGACGATGTAGAGTATCCGGTGTATTTCAGTTATCACTACCGATACCTCCAAACCTGTCCTTCTCAAGCATCGTTTTGTAGCTATACTTATTTCACCGCTAATAAAGGGTAACTTAAACGAGATTTTCCTTTTGCCAAGTGTTTCGTTTCGGGACGTCGCTGCCCTTCCAAACTTATTTCGTGGGGTTACTATTTCGTACCCAATGGAGATGGCTATTTGCCGAGCCAAGTCGCCCGATCACTCCTTTATTTCCCTATTCGTCCACACAGAGGTGGCTGTTCGAAACATGTTTCTCACAAGCGCGCTCTTTATGTGTGAAGGGAGGCAAGAGAGGAAATGAACAAGGTAGTTCTTATCACTTGGTTTTCGACGCCGCTTTGCCATGTAACCGCTATGTAACAAGTTGATTTGAACGTTGAGAAATGAAAGCCAATTTTCTGTCGGTTTCTCCCGGTTGAATTTAATGTACTCAAACTGACCATTGAATATTTTTAAGCACTTGTCCATCTTTCCCTGAGTAGAAAAAAAATGAAAAACAACCACCTATATATCTACAATAGAGTAGCGGCCGGAGATCGATCACGGGGCTTCAATTTTAGACATGAACGCAGTGGCAAAGCTTGGTGCCAGCCGCTGTCCCATTGGCAACCCCTAATTTGGGCGTAATATTTCCCAGGTCTTCAGAAAGTCGAGCAGTTTAGGCACTCTTTCAAGAGAGGCGTAAGTTGCTGAATAGACAAGCTAGGTGTATGTATTGTTACTTCACGTTCATGATTGCTGAACAAGAAAACAACGCATTTATAATCCAGTGCCGAGGCTAATAGAAAGTCGATCCTGGAAACTGTTACATTGATTCATGTTGAGAAAAATGCCCTGGATTTTTGTCTTGGAAAGTAGTACGATTCATACCGAAGAACACTCTTTCTTCGGTATGATTAGATCATAAAAGGCCAATTTCAACGTAATCAAATAAAAGTATGACGTTCCTTCATGCGGACCCAACTATTTTCGATGTTTTCTCCAATAAGCAGACACGAGGTTGTTATTATAGAATTTATTAGGGTACAATAGATCATGGTGTTTTGTTTGCATCGAAGAGAGGTGCGTAGTAGTTGCGTTTCGATGTCCAGTACTAGTTGGTTGTCCCTCGGTAGGCCGCATATACCGTGTAGTCGTTTTTGTTTGATGAAGTTCGGCACGACTTAGTGTTTCAGACAGCGGAGAAAGAGTATCGTTTGTCTAGCTAAGACAATTTTTTGTCTGAGCTATTCTATATGCCTGTCTGAGGACACCATGAGCTATTGTATCCTAATAAATTCTATGATAACAATCGCGTGTCTGCTTATTGGAGAAAAACATCGAATTACCAATCAATGCCGAGGTTAACGGAAAGTCGGTCTTGGGAATTCCAACTATTTTCACTCATTTTGCAGTAATTCCTAGCACCGACTTTCTACTAATCACATAATCACAATGGTTTTGCAGGAGTGGCCGGTAGGACACGTCTAGGCGTCATTTTCTTTCGCGTGGTTCATTTTGGGGCACAGACGTTTTCCCACGTAGTTCTTGTAATCAGTCGATAGCTTATTCAGCGTAGACGCTATGATAGACGTCGTCCATGGAAGGATCTCTTCTTAGTAATTTCTCACTAATTTCTTATTTTGCGGCGAGAAACTATTTCTGCTGAAGAGAGTGTGGTCAATGAAGAGGCGCAAAAATGCCTCTGCCTCGAAGAACTGAAAACGCATGCAGCATCAATTTTGCGAAGCAGTTCGTTGTATTCTAATCTTCAATCGCTATAATGACTTCCAGTTGTGGTTCGAAATGCGAGGATATCAGAACCACTAGACAAACGTTGTAGACCATAAACCTCATAGAAAGCGGTGAGTGTGCAAAGCTGTGTTCAAAGTGATTGAAATCTTGGTTTGGAGTTTCTTTGCTTGGTTATGGAGGCGTCTGGCCTAGTGGATTGCTATCAACTTAACCTTTCCAGGCTCTGAAGAAGGCGAAATCCGCCGAAACGTCAGCTTAATCGTGAACAAAGAATAGTAACACCTCGCGTTTGCTCAAAAAAAATACGAAGAAAATCACTTGATCAATGCCGAGGTTAATAGAAAGTCGGTCTTGGCAAAACGTTGTAGTGTTTCTTGCAGAATCTATACAACTTCATTAAATGCTGAGAGTAGCATGACTGCATAATGGACGAATGTTTTTTACAAGTGACGCTGTAGCGCAGTGTACGGCACTGACTGGAGACTCACCAAGCCTTTCATCTCTCCCGGAGTCAGTAAATTGGTACTAGACTTCTCCGAGAGGATAACAGCACTGGCTCGATACATCGGTAGGGTACCACGAGTCACTCTAATGGGCACATGTGCATTCATTCACCTTTAACGATGCTTCTAATGCACGGTGCATTTCACAGGGATTTATGAACGTCGACAGCTATATCTTTTTATCCTTTTTACACAAGAGTTGTATATGCACCAGAAACATGGGAAGGCATGTAGAAGAACATAGAGCATATATAGGACAAGAGATGCGCAGAAATTTTTCCAAAACGCAGAGTAACGAATTATGGAACGAAAATCACAACGAAGAGGAGCAGGGCTACATAAAACCTGTAGCGATGGCTGATGTGACACTGGTATCACATGTGCGCAGCGAAAAATTAGGGGTCGCAGCTGGAATGTAGATAAACATCGCCATTAATCAATAGTCCGCTGTTTTCTTGCTAAGCACATACGAGGTTGTTATTTTACTATTTATTCACAAAAGTTGACGTTTCGGCGGATTTTATCTTCTTCTTAGCTTGAAAAAGTTAATTTGACCGTAATCTAGTCATCCAAACATCTCCATAACCGCAACGAAAAAATCAGGAGACCAGGATTTCAGTTGCATGGAAACAAAATGATTCAAAACACCGAATTTCTATAGAGCTCGGCATAAATAGCTGATATATTTATTTATATGCTCTTATGAACCGATCTTGTTGAGCTGATGCGAGGTTGGTATAAGTTTTCGTTGTCGTTTTTGTTGTTGCTGTCGTTGTTGTTGTTAGTGTTGTTTGTTGGTCGATTGTTGACGTTTCGCCGATTTCGTCTTCTTCATGGCCGAGTGGGACGTGGGTGGAGTCCCACTAGTACCGGCACGGCTCTGAGGAAGGCGAAGTCGTCGAAACGTCACCCATCGACCGACAATACCAATGACAACGACAACGGCAACAACAACAACAACAACAACAACAACAACAACAACAACGAAAACGTATGCCAACCTCATATCAGTTCAACAAGATCAGTTCATAGGGAAGCAAAATAGTTTATTCACACACTCACCGTTTTTTATAAGTCTTTCACTGAGTATTCCACATGGAAACCAACCGAACAGAACTCACGTGAATGAATGATTCGCCTCTCTCTCTCCTTAAAATGTTGAACTGAGACATTATGTGAGATCACACGTAATTACGTGGCATTCCTCGCGACAAGCCATCGTCGCACTCCTTATACAACATTAAGGACCAAAATACATGTATGGTTTCTTGACTGAGCACCTCATGGCCCTTCTAAACGAGCGTCCAAACTGCTCGTAAATATTACTCACAAATGAGAGGGTTGGCAGTGGAACAGCGACTGACTCCGAGCCTTGCCATTGCTTTTGTGTTTAAGGTGGAAGCACTAGTAATCGATCTCCGGCCATTACTCTACTATAGATATATAATTGCTTCGCCATTTGCTCCACACAAGAGGAAATGGGCAAATATATTTATTTATATGATGTTATAAACTGATCTTCTTTAGCTGATGCGAGGTTGGTATAGGTCATCGTTGTCGTTGTTGTTGGTGTTGTTGGTCGATGGCTAACGTTTCGGCGATTTTCCTCAGAGCCTGAACGTGTTTCATATTAGAATACTTTAATTATTCGGTGGAAAAAGACTAAAGTATTAATGAAGATCAAACTTTTAAATAGATGGTGGGTTAGGATACTACCGTCAAATGTAGTTCTACGCCACATTGAATAGGAAAGCTACTCACCATGATGTTACGAGTGGGGCTGGCCCACCCGTTGTTCACGTGGGGTGGCGAGAAAGACACACCTCGGGGTCAAAATATCATTTTGAAATAGGGCGCCAGGTCACGTGTGATAGTGAGGCATTCGTCTTTCTGATTCATCTTTGGATTTTTGAAATTTATCCAAAATGTCTCATGAGAGAACGCGCAAAACTTTTGATGCGTTTTGGATAAATTTCAAAAATCCAAAGATGAACTGGAAAGACGAGTACCTCACTATCACACATGACCTGATACCCTATCTCAAAAAAATATTTTGACCCCGAGGTGTGTCTTGCTCGCGAACCCGCGTGAACAACGCGTGGGCCAGTCCTACTCGCAACATCACGGTGATCAGCCTTTCTATTCAATATGGCGTCTATTTAGAAATTTGATCTTCGTTAACACTTTAGCCCTTTTTTCACCGAATAATTAAAGTATTCTTATATAAAATATGTCCAGGCTCTGAGGAAAGCGAAATCGCTGAAACGTCAGCCATCGACCAGCAACACCAACAACAACGACAACGACGACCTATACCAACCTCGCATCAGCTAAAGAAGATCAGTTTATAAGATCATATAAATAAATATATCAACTATCTATGCCGAAGTTTATAGAAAGTCGGTCTTTTGAGTTATTAAAAAATGGGCAAATGTTTTGATTTATTGAATTAATAGTGAGAGTAACTAAGTTTACCGGTGAGAAAGCGAAGGGAAATTGGCTTCCATTTCCAAATGTTCAAATTAGCCTATCCGAAAACGGCCACATTACATGGTACCAAATCCAAGCACTAAAAAGGTGCTGGTTTATTACCTCTTCTCTCACCCTTCACATACAAAAGGAGTAATTGTGAAAGATGTGCTTCAAACACCATCAATGTGTTCAATGTGAGAGAAAAAGGAAGAATCTCCGAAATTTGTGCGACAAATAGCCATTTCAAAAGGCTGCGAAACTTTAGCTTCTTGGATTACGTGTAGAGGAAAACTCATCCTCCCAAACGAGAATTCTAGCGATACTAAGATCTCGTTTATCTTGCCTTTCATTTCCAGTGGAATCGAATAACTGTAGCTAAGAAAAGTTTCAGCTGTCAGTGATTCCTTCTAACAGGAGGCAAAGGTGCTATTTCGATCCCCTACACAACACCCTTCCCTAGTCCATGTGGAAACGCTTTAGCTGTACTCTTTACAAGATTGCGAGAGCAATCAACTATCCAAGGATTCTACGACGTTCATAAAGAAGAGAAAATTCCCAACAGAAGCGGAAAGAAAACTTAGAATGCTCGAAAATCGCTGTGAACGATGGATGAGAGGAAAATGAATCGAAAGCAAGAACTGCTGGGATCCACGCTAGGACCACTACGATGGAATGTGTGATGACGGGTCATGTAAAATGTAAAATAAATAAAAATGAAGATCTGCTTGAAAAGCCCAGTCTAGAGAAATCACTCTCAGTGATGAAATACCACCGAGCACTCTCAGATGTCAGTTAGTTCGTAGTCACGTGAATGACCGTCTCTGCGAAATGCACATTTGAATAATTTTCACTAACGGGAGAGGCGATGATTGCATGAGGTCGGGAACGGTGCATCTTATGTATTGTAAATCGAGTGGGGCGAATGCATTCGAATACGAATACATTGGCGGAATGGGTACGCCACATTGCTTCCGTTTAAAAGAAGATTTAATCGGTGAAATTATACCAGATAATCCACTAGACGAGTATAGGGCACAGAGAGATAACGGAGAAGATTTTGGACTAGAAGTTACCATTCTGGCACAGGCTTCAGCGGGCAAGACTCTTCATGAATTCTGGATAAATTCGAAGAATTCAAAAATGAACCGGAGGGAAGAATGATTGATTACCACGCGTGTCCCGATGCGCTATTTAAGATTTATATTTTAATGTGAGAGGCACGTTACGCCTCCATGTGAACTCTGTGCGGTAGGCCTCCACGTGAAATATCCAGTAGAGGACTCATAAAAAGCGCTAAATATGGGAAGAAAGTGTTTTGTTTCCAACACAGTTGAAACCTACTTTTCGTGACTTTTCTGTTGGGGTTATAGTGGTATTTCGCTCACTAGGTAGCACTAAACTTCACCTTTCCAGGCATTGAAAAGTTGGGGTGACCCGAAGGGCCAGTTTTTGTTTTAAAAAATGGTAGAATAACAACCTCTTGTGTGTTTAACCATGAAACAGCTAATTATTTCTTAGTCGGTTGTAATAAAACGTACCCATTGGATCTTACAGGCGTAAGAAACTCCCTCATTTGAATCTAAGGACGTAAGGAAACGTAACATTCGATCTTTCGGATGTAGGAAGACGACTTATTCGTTCCTACAATCGTAAGGAAATCACTCAATCGTTCCCAAAGACGTATTAGATGATCTTGTAGGCGCAGGTTAAAGTAAATGAAGTAAATGAAGAACACTTGAATAATTACCAATACATCACAATTGAGGTATCCGGACGTTGTTCAACGAATCTATCTCGTCAATCCACCTCGTCTTGTGAGTTTATTGTGGAAAATCGCCAGGCTTTTCCTTACTGAGCAGAATCTTCGGAAAATGGAAATCGTGGGCGAAAAGGAGATGACAAAGCATGTGAATAAAAACTACGTACCAAAAGAGTTTGGAGGTGAGATTATTGTGACAGGAGGTTCCGTTTAACTACTGCGTAATTACATCATGAGTACTCTCTATTTCCTACTAAAATTCTTTTGTTCATTTTCGACGAGTTCCTATAATAGCTTACGCAACGGTTGAGAATTTTATCGCTTTTGAGCTTGATCACTTCTAAATGTTCAGTAAGACGAAACAAAATTTTTTAAAGAATTATCTTAACTGATACAACCACAATGATGCTGAGACATTTGCAAAACTCCGGACCGCATGTGTACGCGGTGGGGAGCGAACGCAGTATTCCCCTTTCGGGGGCTAACGCGTTCACCACCATACCATACAGGTCCTTCGTTTTGCCTGTCTCTCAGCTACTTCTATCGATCAGTGTCATCAGCAATCACCCGTGAACGGGATAGATCTGTGGAGCTCAATTCGGCCATGGATTTAGTTCAGCTGAGGCTGTAGTCGAAATCACAGTGTTAATTTTTTATTTCCTGCGTATTACAATTTTTCACGGCAGAGTATTTTGTGTTATGCAACCACAACGATGCTGAGATATCTGCAAAACTCTGGGCCGCAGATGTCTGCGGTGAGGAACGACCGCGCTATTACCCTTATCTTAACTGATACTCATTCTAATTTTCGTAAAGACTAAAATATTGTCGAATTCATAGGATTGGTATACTCTTCTAATAAAGCAGGTGTGTTATGAATGTGTCGTTTTCTTGCTCAGCTATCGCGAGGTTTTTAAACAGCATACATTTACTTCCATAAAGAAAACACAATACAATACAACGCTAGCTGACGTTTCGGCA